CCATCTCGCGGCCGCTCGGAGGGAACGGCCGCCATGTCGGCGCGGGAGGGACGCGCTGCCTGAGGGCGCTGCTGGGGGCGGCCGTGTGGAGACGGGTTTAACCGTGTTTTACTGGAAGAGTGTTGGAAAATGCGGGATATGTGAAAATTTTCTTACGAAGGGCTGCTCCTTGATGTTTGACCTTTGTGTACTTTCAAGCCTGCTCGACGAGAAATGAGAGTTAATCCGTGAAACAGAGCAGCCAACAAGCGCCAAGCGATGCGCAGGTGTTCCAAAGACAAATGAACTGTCGGTAGAATTGCCTTGCTTAGGTTTAGGGCTCGGCGTGTTTTAATGCTCTGAGATGTAGGGGGAGGTTAACAAAGCTCGGGAATAAGGATGTGCCCCTGAGGGGGACACAGAATGCAGAATTTACAGGCCGCATGGACACTGGGCAGAACCCACAAGACAGGGAAAAAACCAATAAAGCCAACTCAGCAACTGGGATGAAATCAGCTCAAACCGGGTAAAAGGTAATCCTGGTGGGGGCAGATCGTGACCGCTGACTCACGTACCACCGACCCAAAAGAAGGGAAAGACTGAGCAGATGGACTGATTAGCATATGGACTAATTAGCATTGGAAGCGAGAGAATCATTAACCAAGAGAAAACAATGCTGATTAATAAGAGAACTATGTAACTTGTAGCCAGTGAGCACTAATTCCTTTGTTTGCTAGTATGCATAAATACTGAAAAGTTTTGATAGTCTGGGTGCTCAATTTGTGGAATACCTGAGAGCAGCCAGGTATTATTGTATAGCCCTGAAGTAAACACCAGTGTCTCTCTCAGTGTGTAATCATTGGTGTGTTGCACATCAGGTTGTGCATTTGATTTTTGTGGACAGCAAAGGGGTTTGTGAAATAGTGAGCAGCACTGGGGTTTTTTTCCCTTCAAAAATAAAAAGGGGGACAAAAGGAGAGTTAGTCTGTCTTGAGTCCTTTGTCGGTACCCAAGGGTGAGGAGGCAGAGCTGGAAGACCAGTCACTTTGGATTCTCTGGGTGACTATTTTTGTCGTGCAGAAATCCATGTTGACACATTCCAGAATCCCCCTCAGCTTTTCCTGCTTCTGAAGGCAATTACCAGATCAGGATTTCTGCAATGAAGGCATCACAGCAGGGTGATCTTTCAGTGCAGGTGCTCCATTTTGTTGGGGATCTCAGCTGTACTTCACATATCTTTTAAGGATGGAACATGGTGTAGCCAGCATACCTGTATTGGGTCTCCCAGCCCAGACATTTGTAGGGCATTATCTTTATATTTAACAGGGAAATGATGAACAAGAGCACAACAGCTTCAGGAAGAGGTTTTTCTCTATGAACGTGGGTACCACAGTGGAACAGCTTGCCCAGAGAAGCTGGGCTGATACCCTGTCCCTGGAAGTTCTCAAGGCCAGGCTGGATGGGGTTTTGAAAACCTGTTCTAGTAGGAGGAGTCCCTGCCCATGGCAGGGGGGTTGGAACAAGATTATCTTTAAGGTTGCTATCCAACCAAACCATTCAGTGATTCTATGAGCAAATTTCCAACCAACCTTCTCTGCTGCTGTTCCATCACTTAGATTCTCTCTCCTTCAAGATTTTAGCATGAATTGTTCAGGTGTGTATTGATTTAGACCTACATTATTTTGTCAGCCACTTGGAAAACAGAGGATGTAAAGCCTTAGAAAACCCAAATACATTTACCTCCTCTTAAATCTCAAATATATGTAAACTTAAATATATGTTTACTTTAGACTACAGTTCATGAAGTAAAAATTGGCTTCCCAGTTTGGAATGAGCACCTGCTCTGTGATGTTAACATATGTTTCTCTGGAAGATATCAATGAGAAAGAAAAGCCTGGAAAACAGCCACTGAGAGTTGTTCCTAATGCCTTTTGAAGCTGTTTTGCGACCTGTAGAGATCAGACTTTAATCAATAAATCTGTCTCTGTTTTCACTGTATGATGAGAAAAGTTTGCAGTGCCAAAGATGAAAGGTACATTTTTTTTTCTCTACTATTCAACAATTTTTTTTTTCTCCTCATGTTCATTGGTGACAGAAAAGGAGCTTTGTAGAGATGCAATACATTTCATAAATTAGTTCCCATTGGAGATGTGTTGTTGACTCCTGGACAGCAAACAGGGAATGCTGGAGAAAACACTTAAAAGACATCAGCTTGGCAGCAAGAAAAGAGTAAACACACTTGCTGAATTGTTTTGTTTTGGTCTGTGGGGGGAAATGAGCCAAAATAACTTCAGGTAGCAGTTAGGATCTGACTGGTAAGCACTGGTGAGAGATTGTGCTGTTGGCTAGACTGCCAGGGAAATCGGGGGAAAAAAATAATCTGATGCAGTGTATATTGCTTTTGGGATTGAAACACAGTGTTGAGGCTATACATATGGCAAAGTAGCCTTCTTCTGGGGGATACACTGTGCTGCTGCAAACATGTGCTTTCTGAGAATTGCTCAGGCTTAAGGGTCAGCCTCTTGATCCTCCCTGACTTGGGAGAGGCTAAAAAGTTTGGTGTTTTTAAAAAATGCTACAGAAATAAAGAAACCAACTCTAGAAGCTGCTCCTGGGAAAAAATAGACATACATGCAGGAGTAGGGTAGTTGTATCCCATGCCTGTGGTCAGCATGAGGTGGCAGAAAGGCAAAAGTTTCTGCCACTGAGGCTGTGAGAAGTGTAAATCTGGGAAAAATGTGGCTGCTTGTTTTGAAAAAGATCACCCTCAAGATGCAGATATCCCTTAACCAGAGGCAACAAAACTGATTGTTCTACTTTCAAGTTGTTTTAGAAGCAAAGTAAAGAGATTTAGGGATGAAATTAATTCAGTGATTGTTCTGTCCAGGGAAGAATGATGAAAAGGAAAGAATCCCTGATTTAGAGGCTCTGGAAATGGGGAGTGCAAAGTGTTGGGGGAAGTGTGTGGTTTTTCTTTGTTTTTCTTGTCACTCTTTCAACCCAAATGTCTGATTCTACAAAAAAAGTGTGTAGCCAACACAGCTCCAGAGGAAAGAGAAACCTGAGTTTTGTAAATTGAATGAAAAGCAGAAAAGACCCTTGTGCCAAACAGAGCCACCTGTTCAAGCCTGGTATTTAGAGGCTGTTTTATATGGGAAAATATGTACCTGTCTTTGGTGGATTATGGTCTTGTGAGGATCCCACACTACAGTTTTAAAACACTCCTTTGGATGGATAGGCAGTGGACAGAGTCAATAAGGAACTGGACAAATCTCAGGAGTGGAATTTGGTCTCCGGTCTTTGACCATTTTAGTGGAAACTGTCCAGCTCTGCTTTCAAAAGCTGCAAACTTTGTACAGGTCCCATGCCCTGTTTGTGACCAGATTCTTGGACACCCAAGGAGACCTCATATCACACCACTGCTGTATTCAGGAAATTGTTCAGATGACCTTTACTTTTTAATGAACTACCCTTTACCTTAGTGAAGAATAACAGCTGGTTGTTCTGTAATGAGAAGAAAAGGCACTTGCTCTGTTCTGAGATCTGCAAACTGGAATCATAATTCCCAGTCTCTGCTTTCCTCCCACTTCATCCTGTTGGGAAATGTGAATGGATATCTTAATTCTGGAAATTTGGTTTGTCATTTGTGTTAATAAAAGCAGGACAAACTGTCCTTAATTCTAACATTAATTTTGTATGTCACCATGATATAAATGGTAAGTGCTGTGCACTGAGTCTGTTACCATAGAAAAGCAGAATGCTGCCTATTCCTGTGCTGCTGTATTGCATTCACACTCTCAGAGTCATGGATGTGGTGAATATGCTTTCTGTGATTTGCTGGTTTGTTTTAAGAAGTGAGTGCCTCTTAGGAGACTTATTAATGTTTTCTTCATTGTTTTTCATTCTCTGATTAGGAGAGTAAAAAAATACTTGCCATGTAAACCTACACTCCCCATTCCACATGGCATCTGTTCTCACTGCAGCTAATTTACAGATTGAAAAGTGCTAGTGTGCTGTGGTCTTTCATCTCCATATGTTTAAAATGGCCTTTAGGTGGGATCAGATTTAATGCAAAATTCCAGCCTCTGAAGCATTTCTTCATCCCTGGTATTCTTCTGTTCTTGTTTCTATAGTAGCTGTTGTCAATCTGCTTTGCTCTGTGATCTGTGGTGGAGAGGGGTCTGTAGCTCCAGATTGCAGTTACCAGAAGG